AAGACGTCTTGATCAAAAATAACACCAAGATTTTTAACATTAGAGCTGGAGGACAGATTAATGTAATCTAAGGAGGGAGAAAGACTGAAAAATTAATTCTATGCTCAAGTCCAAAAACTAAAATCTCAGTCTTGTCTCTGTTCAAAAGCAGAACATTTAGGGTCATTCAGGTTTTTATGTCTTTAAGACATGCTTGTAGTCTAAATAACTGATTGGATTCATTGGGTTTCATTGACAAATATAACTGTGTATCATCAGCATAACAATGAAAATTAAATCATCACCAAAGCTTTTCACTAATTTTACCCAAAACAGCAGCTGTTAGTTTGGCCCTCTGCAGCCTGGACCGCCTCCTGCAGGAACAACAACAACAACAACAACAACAACAACGATGATGTCATGTGACTGCAGTGTAAAGGTTTAATGCATGACTGTTGATATTTTCCTCAACTGTTAACTTATTAATCTGCCTAATTTCTCCAAATTAGAGACTAATTAATGTCTCTCCTCTGAATTTCAAGAATACACAGAATGTATTTTCTGTCCATCCATCTTTTTTAATCAATAAAAAATATATATATATATTGAAATGATTTTAGAGAACAGTTCATCGTCTCAGTGATCTTTTATTGTTGAGTCCTAAATGATGAAGATATGAGTTTAACTCTGGTTTGTTTTAAAGACATTTAAAGCAGCTGTCATGATGATGCTGCTGCTCGTGGTTCGTTTGAAACGTTCGGGATCATTTTTGTTTTCAAAGCAGAAAACATTTTAAATAAAACAAGAACTTTTTATTGCGCTCGATGCGTCTTTTAGCCGAGCGAGCGTCAAATAATTCATGGAAAGTTGCAACTAAAGTTTAGAAAAACAGGAATTCTCCCCACATTTTCATAATTAATGATCAGTGCACGTGACTGTTAGTGCACGTGTGTTCTGTCAAAGCAGCTAAACTGAACGGATATTAACGTGCACAACGTTACAGTTTGTGTTCAGTTCTCCAGCGAGCGGGGGAAGTCTTTGTTTTTATCCAAACGCAGCTCCGTCTGTGGAACATGCACGTCCACGTGCGCACGTCTGAGCATGTGTTGGCGTGAGCGTGGACGGCGTGTGGAGGATCCAACCAAAAGCCACACATGACTCAATACGGCGCTGCAGCTCAGACATGCGATGTGTCACCCCACATCATCATCGTCATCCTCCACTGAGCATGTGCAGAACAGGCCCCCAGCTGTCCACGTGCGCTCCGAGGGTGCACGTGGCAGATGCTGCTTTAATCATTTATTGGTGCGTTTCTCTGAAACCCACGTTGATCCAACCCTTCCTGTTTGCTGTTGCCGTGGCGATGGGAGCTGAAGGCTTAGCTGTTTCTGAGGCGTCAGAGTCAACCGTACGGTTAACAGGAAACTCCCAGGGTGCTTTGCTCTGAGCCGTTTGATGATGAGCTCAAAGTTCAGCAGCCACTTCAGGGAATTAAAGATGTAAAGGCAAACCTTTGCTCATCCAGTCTACATGTGCTCTGTGGACTTGGTGAAGGCGTTGGACCGTGTTCCTCGAGGTACCCCATGTTCCCCGCCTCAGTGGCCTGATGGTTTCCCAGAATCTCCTCGGATCAGATCGATTGTCTCTGTCCAACACGTCCGAGCTTTTGCCTCAGCAACGGCCGAGGCTGCAGCCCGTTTGGTCCTCTGGTACTCCTCAGCTGCCTCCAGCGTCCCACCATCCTTCTTCAGCTTGACAGCCTCCCTGACCCGGGGTGTCCACCATTGAGTTTGAGGATGGCCACCGCGAGAAGCACCGACAACCTTTCAGCCAAAGTTCAAGGCGGCTACCTCAACAATTGAGGTGCAGAACATGGCCCACTCAGACTCAGTGTCCCCCGCCTCAGCTGGGATGAGGTTGAAGATCCTTCTGCTGGGTTCTTCTGCCAGAAGTAACCCAGCAGACCCTCACTACACGTTTGGGTCCTTCAGAACCTGGTCACGGCTCGCTGGTTGTTTGGACGAACGCACCCAGACTTCAGTGAGACCACAACTAAAGATTCTCTTTTCTTTCTGTGGTTCTGTTTCTGATGATCTGAGATGCCACCTTCAGGGTCCGAGTCTGATGAAGTCTAATCTGTCAAACAGACTCCTCAATCACTCCGCCTCTTCTACGACAGTTTCTCCTGTTTCCTGCTTCCTCTTCCACCCAGAGTCTCTGCTGGAGGACTCGTGGTTTGCTCTCAGAGGTCAGAGGTCACACATCAAGTCTCTCAGTGACTTCCATTGTTGTGAGCTCAGGAGTTTCTCTTTAAAACTGAAAGTTTCGGCTGTTTGTACCTCGTCATGTCTGCCCTGCAGAACCAGCATCCTGCAGACATCCTGTCTTATTAAGAGCGCTGTCGGGGAGTGACAGACAGGTGTGTGGTTACCATGGTGACCCTAATGACCCTCTGGGAGCAGCTTTAACCTTTCTACTAATCTTGGTCCTCGTCTTCTACAATTGACACATCAAAATGTCGGCCATTTTGGCAGTTTATATTAGCAAAATATCTGATGAACCACCTGAGGGATTCTGACACAACTGTCAGATCGTGATCATTGGATGTTCCTCATGAACGTCTTTGGTCTTTTCAAGTTTTAGGATACAAGATGGCCGCCACAGCTGATCGACTTTAGTAAACACCAAACTGTCAGGTTTTTTTTACAGATATGGAGCTAAAGTTTGGTGAGTTAGTAACGTCGGGTACCGTTCCACATCCTGCACACATTATCTCTGTTTTATCCAGCCGTCCTGTTTTTATCAGATTCACAGATTAAAGAGCCCTTCAGGCTTTTAGTGACGCGTTCGAGTTTCCCTGAAACTGATGGATATTTACACACAAGTCGTTTTACTTCATCTGTTCGACGCTTCACACAACTGGAGGAACGTTGGTCTTTTTTTAGACTCAGGTCGGTCTTTTTTCTGGGCAGCTGATGCACGCGTCAGTGAATTTATTCTCTCTGGATTAAAAATAAACTGTCTCCAGCTGTGGCACATTTTCACATCAATTAAAGGTTTGAGTTTGATGCTGATGCACAAAGTGTTCTCACAGATATAAGCCCCCCACCAGAGGAAACTGAGATAAAAGTATGAAGAGAAGCAGGAAGATGGAGAGGATCAGATCTTATCTGGACTTTCAGATGATGATTTTTATTTTCTTTCAAGTTAAAATGAACAAAATCTTTTTGACATTTACCAACTTCACACGTTTGTCAAACAAATCCTAACTACTTTATTTTACGCTTTGAGATGAAAATTAATGCTCGTCACTCAGAAGACGGTTTCTTTTCCTGTTCACTCAGAAAAATATTTACCTCTGAGCAAAACCAGCTCTGAAATATGAGATAATAAATACATAAAATCAGCTTTTAATAGACTGGTTGGATGATGGCTGGATGATAGATGGATGATGGTTGGATGATTGTTGGATGATGGTTAAATGATGGATGTATGATGTTGGATGATAGATGTATGATGGTTGGATGATGGATGGATGATGGTTGAATGCTGGTTGGATGATGGTTGGATGATGTATTAATGATGTATGGATGATGGTTGGATGATGGATGGATGATGGTTGAATGCTGGATGGATGATGGTTGGATGATGGTTGGATGATGATTGGATGATGAAGGGATGATGGATGTTGGTTGGAGGATGGATGATGGATGGATGGATGTTGGTTGGATGATGGTTGAATGATGGATGTATGATGGTTGGATGATGGATAGATGATGGTTGGATGATGAATGTATAATGCTGAATGATGGTTGGATTATGGTTGAATGATGGATAAATGATAGTTGAATGATGGATGATGGATGGATTATGGTTGGATGATTACTGGATGATGGATGTTGGTTCAAGGATAGATTATGGTTGGATGGTGGATGGATGTTGGTTGGATGATGGTTGAATGATGGATGTATGATGGTTGGATGATGTTGAATAATGGATGGATGATGGTTGGGTGATGGATGTATGATATATGTATAATGGATGTATGGTAGTTGGATGAGTCGGTTGATAGTTGAATGATGGATGTATGATGGTTGGATGATGTTGAATAATGGATGGATGATGGTTGGGTGATGGATGTATGATATATGTATAATGGATGTATGATAGTTGGATGACAGTCGGTTGATAGTTGAATAATGGATGGATGATGGTTGGGTGATGGATGTATGATATATGTATAATGGATGTATGGTAGTTGGATGAGTCGGTTGATAGTTGAATGATGGATGGATGATGGTTGGGTGATGGATGTATAATGTTGAATGATGGATGTATGATAGTTGGATGACAGTCGGTTGATAGTTGAATGATGGATGGATGATGGTTCGATGATAGATGTATGAAAGCTGGATGACTTCCTCCAACGACTCGGCGGTGGAGAGGGTGGACTACAGAAACCATCTGAGCACCATCAAAGTGGATGACCCACTATGTGAAGGTGCTATTTATAAGACCGAGTCTGTTTGTGGCTCCGCCGTTGATTAAGTGTTTCGGATGAAAGACAAAACGTTTCAACAAGAAGAATCCGTCCAGAGGACTTGACTTTTCTTTGTTGGATTTTTCTACCTGGATTATTGATCATGAATCAGAATAATATAAAAACCAATTGGTAAAAGTTCTCTATCTAAGGATTTATCAAAAAGGAAAGACTTTAACCTAACCCTGGACCCTGATGGTTTAAATAAAAACGTGAACGAGAAGAGAAACATCTGATCTGTTTCATGTTTGGCTTTTATTACCAGGTTGCTTGATGTTTTGTGGTTCCTGTGTTCCGTTGTTCTTGTCTTCAGTTTCCTCATGTCTCAGTTCAGCTCCCGCTCCTCCGTCCTGACTCGCCCCTCTCACCTGCTCCCCGTGTCATTCAGCCCTGTTGTTCTTCATCCGCTCATCATCCTCAGCCTTTACACCTGATCTGTGTCAGAGTGTTTCACTCGCCTGACCCGGTTTGTTTCTTGCAGCTCTGCACGAGTTTCCCTCCGACTTTTTCACGAATGAAGAGAGGACAGAAGGAGCCGTGGCGCTGCACGTTCTGTGTGTAAGTTTGCTTCTCCTGACGGTTCACAAATCAACAAGAGATGTTTTATTTTCAGCTACACCCCAAAGTTTTGACTCGTGTCTTGATGTTTCACTCTCCAGCCCAGCAGGCGGCGATAAAGTGCTCGTTAGTCAGGTGTCTACTCAAAATGCACAACGAGTGAAACTGTCTGAGCATGGATCATAACGTATCTCCTGAACCCAGAACCTGTTCACAGTGGAACATAGTGAACATGTCAGTCTAACAAACGTTACCTGTAGATATCAGCAATACATCTCTTTAAAGATGTTTCTGTTTCCTCTGAGAAACATCCAGTCTTCTTCTAACAACCATCTGTAAACCTCCAGGACCCGAGGAGACCAGTTGTTGGAGGTTTTGAAGGACCCGAGGAGACCAGTTGATGGAGGTTTTGGAGGACCCAAGGAGACCAGTTGATGGAGGTTTTGTAGGACCTGAGACCAGTTGTTGGAGGTTTTGGAGGACCTGAG